CTCTTGTTGTATACCGCGCACCGCCGCTGTACCGCCAGCAACGTCCACGTTGTTCAAGTTTGTTCCCCGCAGGAACAACGTCCACGTTGTTCAAGTTTGTTCCCCGCAGGAACAACGTCCACGTTGTTCAAGTTTGTTCCCCACAGGAACAACGTCCACGTTGTTCAAGTTTGTTCCCTGCAGGAACAACGTCCACGTTGTTTAAGTTTGTTCCCCGCAGGAACAACGTCCACGTTGTTCAAGTTTGTTCCCTGCAGGAACAACATCCACGTTGTTCAAGTTTGTTCCCCGCAGGAACAACGTCCACGTTGTTCAAGTTTGTTCCCTGCAGGAACAACGTCCACGTTGTTTAAGTTTGTTCCCCGCAGGAACAACGTCCACGTTGTTCAAGTTTGTTCCCTGCAGGAACAACGTCCACGTTGTTCAAGTTTGTTCCCTGCAGGAACAACGTCCACGTTGTTCAAGTTTGTTCCCCGCAGGAACAACGGCCACGTTGTTCAAGTTTGTTCCCTGCAGGAACAACGTCCACGTTGTTCAAGTTTGTTCCCTGCAGGAACAACGTCCACGTTGTTCAAGTTTGTTCCCTGCAGTTTGTTCCCTGCAGGAACAAAGTTGAACAAGGCGGAGGGCTCGCGTCGACTCCTCGCCAAGGCTGCACTCGTCCACTGCGTGTGGGGCACGCGTCACACGGGAGATGGCACGCGGTCCTCTTCAGAATCTTTATTTAGACTGCAGGAGGAATCCGATGAGCTGTGAAGCTCTTTTTCCCAGGTGTCCAGTAGGGGCGGGTCATCGAGTTGCAGAGATGCGGGGGGCACTGCTGATCATGCACCTCCGACTAGCACGGTTGGCTACATAAGGGTGCGAAGTTCAACATACATACACCACACAGACTAATTCAGACCTTATTGGTCATCTCGTGCCCCTTAATGAAACACTGCGTCCATCCTAGAAACACAAACAAATAGACAATTATTTTATTGCCCGCATTGAAACGGATTTGCGCCGTATGGACCTGAAAACTCAATATCCCTGCACAGGAATACGGCTCAACCGTATGGGTTTACTGCAATGTACATACAAAGATCCCCCGTGTAGCCTTAACAGACTATAGGGGCAAGTGCTGTTAGCGAGCACCTATAAAGGCCGGCACGGCACACGAGGGGGTGGGTGGCCAGCACCACGCCCGGCCGCCTTTGTCTCTCTAGCGGAAATGTTTACACACCGCAGCAGGTACTCATTTGAGGCCGAGTCGACCTAGGGGAGGCCCGGGACCGGTTCAGATAATCGTCACCGGTGTTGGCCGTGAGCGGGGATCGAATCCGGGTCGCCGGGTTCATAGCGCAGCGCAGCGCTGACCGCTACGCTACCGCTTCCCACACGTGCCAACACAGATGGTGAACCCCTTGGACAACAGCGCCCCCTGGCCCCCAACTCGCACGGTGCAGTGGCGCCGCCTGGCGGAGCCAGCGGGTGACTGCACGGGCGAGGGACTGCGTCACAAAGAGCCCCCCCCACTTACAGCCTGAACAGACTGCTGGGGGCGAGTGCTGGGGGCGAGTAGCGCCTCATGAAGGCTGTCACGGCACGCGAGGAGGGTGGGTGGCCAGCACCACGCCCGGCCGCCTTTGTCTCCCCGGTGCTGATGTTGACACACTGCATCGGGTCGACATAAGTGGAGATCATCGTCAGTGGTGTTGGTGACCGAGCGCGCAGCGCTAACCGCTGCGCCACCACTCCCCAACGCAGGTAAATTACACGAGGACAAAGATCCCCCGTATAGCTTTAACAGAGTGTTGGGGCAAGTGCTGTTAGCGAGTAGCAGCAGCAGCTCATAAAAAGCCGGCACGGCACACGACGGGGTTGGGTGGCCAGCATCACGCCCGGCCGCCTTTGTCTCTCCTCGTGGCGTGAAGTTCACACATCACGCCAGCAGGTGCACACAAGAGGAGCTCCGCTAGAGTGGACGCCGCGACTGACGCAGCAGCCAGCGGCGCAGCGTGGACCATCATCACCATCAGCTCGGGGGGGGGGGCAGTCGGTCAGATGCCCCCCCCCCCCCATTATTTGATTGTCTCCTGGCACGGTGGTCCAAGCTTTACTGCTCTCAATAAATTTAAATACGACGCGGAACATAAATGAAAGTATTTTCATAAACAAAAAAGTCAACTTTAAACCGCGTTTTAAATAAGGATTTGTGTGTCCTTTGACACTGTTGTTGTTGTAAACAAATGCCATCATGGTGGTTGTCAAGGGGGGGCCCCCCCCAAACTCGTAGTTGTGGGCACCAGGTGGGGGGGGGGGGGCGAGGCACCCGCTGCCTGCCCCCCACGCTCGTCACGCCAAGGGCCACAGTCGGGAACGGCCACAGGCCCAGAGGCACAGCACAACAATTGTCTATCACACACCACCGGTTCATATGAAGATGTATTTATTCCGTAAATGCTTCTGAATCCAGCAGAGTAAAGCAGCGAGCGACTTTTCCCTCCCCCGATACAAACAAGAAGCCTGAACATGCAGATGCGATCCGGCGCTTCGGAGGCGAGGGTTGGTGGGTCGCGTCGTGATCGCTGGGCTGCTGCAGGCTTGCGGTGGCCAGGAATTTGGGGTGTAGCAAGTCGGTGAGGGGGTCCCTGAATCCGAATTTTGGGGGGGGGGGGCACAGCACGAGGTTTGCCCCCCCCCCTCCTCCCTCCCCCCACAACATGAGAGCTGAACTGCACTCACCTGCAAGTTGAGCCCAAGTCGTGGTTACACGGAGTCGACTCAAGAAGATGATGAGATGATGCGAGGTCTGTGTTGAGACGCAGAAGATGTCATTCGATGCCTCTGCCCTCCTGGCCACCGATACCGACATGGGCAGGGTGGGGGCAGCCTCGCTCCGCCCGCATCCTCCTCGCCCTGGTGTCTAGCGATCGTGTCGGCTGGTGGGTGCAGGGTGATGAGAGTGTAGGGTGGTGAGTGTAGGGTGGTGAGTGCAGGGTGGTGAGTGTAGGGTGGTGAGTGTAGAGTGGTGAGTGTCGGCTGGTGGGTGCAGGGTGATGAGAGTGTAGGGTGGTGAGTGTAGGGATGTGAGTGGTGAGTGTAGGGTGGTGAGTGTAGGGTGGTGAGTGCAGGGTGGTGAGTGCAGGGTGGTGAGTGTAGGGTGGTGAGTGTAGGGTGGTGAGTGTAGAGTGGTGAGTGCAGGGTGGTGAGTGCAGGGTGGTGAGTGGTGAGTGTAGGGATGTGAGTGGTGAGTGTAGGGTGGTGAGTGTAGGGTGGTGAGTGTAGAGTGGTGAGTGTAGGGTGGTGAGTGTAGAGTGGTGAGTGTAGGGTGGTGAGAGTGTAGGGTGGTGAGTGTAGGGATGTGAGTGGTGAGTGTAGGGTGGTGAGTGTAGGGTGGTGAGTGTAGAGTGGTGAGTGTAGGGTGGTGAGTGTAGAGTGGTGAGTGCAGGGTGGTGAGTGCAGGGTGGTGAGTGGTGAGTGTAGGGTGGTGAGTGTAGGGTGGTGAGTGCAGGGTGGTGAGTGTAGGGTGGTGAGAGTGTAGGGTGGTGAGTGTAGGGTGGTGAGTGCAGGGTGGTGAGTGTAGGGATGTGAGTGGTGAGTGTAGGGTGGTGAGTGTAGGGTGGTGAGTGTAGGGTGGTGAGTGTAGAGTGGTGAGTGGTGAGTGCAGGGTGGTGAGTACAGGGTGGTGAGTGGTGAGTGTAGGGTGGTGAGTGCAGGGTGGTGAGTGCAGGGTGGTGAGTGGTGAGTGTAGGGTGGTGAGTGCAGGGTGGTGAGTGGTGAGTGTAGGGTGGTGAGTGTAGGGTGGTGAGTGCAGGGTGGTGAGTGTAGGGTGGTGAGTGCAGGGTGGTGAGTGTAGGGATGTGAGTGGTGAGTGTAGGGTGGTGAGTGTAGGGTGGTGAGTGTAGGGTGGTGAGTGGTGAGTGCAGGGTGGTGAGTGCAGGGTGGTGAGTGGTGAGTGTAGGGTGGTGAGTGTAGGGTGGTGAGTGTAGGGTGGTGAGTGTAGGGTGGTGAGTGTCGGCTGGACGGTGCAGGGTGATGAGAGTGTAGGGTGGTGAGTGTAGGGATGTGAGTGGTGAGTGTAGGGTGGTGAGTGTAGAGTGGTGAGTGTAGAGTGGTGAGTGCAGGGTGGTGAGTGTAGGGTGGTGAGTGACATATCTCTGCGTCCCCATGCCTCCACGCGGACCCACACACAGCACGCGTGTATATTTATATATGTATATATGGGTATAACTTATATATTTATATATGGATATATATTTATATATGGATATATAATTTATATATTTATATATGGATATATAATTTATATATAGTACGATGTGCTCGGGCTACACGAGCTTAGGCGTGTGCTGATGATGATCATGACGATGCATATGAAGCATGACTGATGTGATGGTGATTATCAATAATAATTGACGTGACGATGATGATTCATATTGTCTTATGATGATCATGAAATATGACTGATGATTTATATATTTGTATTATAAATGATGAAGATGATAAGGAGAGATGACGATGGGTGAGTAGGAATCGTGTAACTATGATATTTGATAGTGATGAATGATTGACTAATATATTGCTGAAATACTAGATAATTATTATAAAGTTGATTATTGATCGCGACGATCACTGATGTTTGTTAAGCTGTTCAGTGAACATCCCCTGAATGAACACTCTTGCGTTGCTATCGCTACTGCGAGACCTAGCAGGGGGAAGGAAGCGATGGCGAGCCCGCTGCCTGCGCACGGTGACCTCTCGACTTCGCTGATTGTGAGAACTTGGACAAGCACTGCCCCCCCCCCCTCCACCTCCTCCCATCACTCAAAGAGCCCTCGACCTCTTCTCTGTCCACCAGTCATCCCTCCCATCTCCTCCATCCACCCTCCTTCCCGATTAGCACGGTTTGCTACGTACGGTGCGAAAGACGTTCAACAGACATCTCTCCCTCCACTCTCCCTTTTCGACTCCATCTCCTCCATCTCCTTCATCTCTCTCCTCCCTCCAATCGCACTGACATCTCTCTCCTCCTCCTACATCACCATCCCAATCTCTTCATTGTCACCTTCCACTCTCTCCTCCACCCGTCCCAATCTCCCCAACCACCCGTCCACCCATCTCACAAATCAAAAGAATCGTTTCACAAATCAAACGAATCATCTCCGCATGCCCCTCCCCACCTCCCGCCGTCAAGCCGGTATGGAGAACTGGCAGACGAAGGGCAACTCGGCCTTGCACGCGGCCACGTCCCAGGCAGGGCGCTCTCCCTGCAGGGGCGCCCGCACGCACGAAGCCGCCACGGCGCCACCGCCGCCGCGCGGGGCCCCTGGGGCTGCCCACGGCGCGTACCCGAGCGGGGCTCCGGTCGCGTCCGCGAAGCTGCCCCGCTCGCGCAGGTCGCTCGCGCCGAGCCACAGCCACTGCGGGGCGCCGTCCGTCGCCGCGGGCAGCCGAGGGGAGGCGTAGGCGCGCAGCTCCTCCGCTGCCCTCGCGTCCGCGGGCAGCGCCAGCTGCCCTCCCCGAGCAAAGCATTCCTCTGACGCCTCGTGGTAGGGGCGAGGCGCGGCGAAGAGCAGCAGGCACGTGTTGTCTCGCGTCTTGGTGCCACGCAAGCACACTGTGTTGGAGTCCGGGGAGGGGGGGGATGGGTAAATGATGATTGTGTGATGGTGATGAGGAGAGATGATCATGATGATGGATGAGTGTAATGCGATGTTTGATAGCGATGCATGATGAATTAACCCAGAGATGCATGATGAATTATCCCAGAGATGCATGATGAATTAACCCAGAGATGCATGATGAATTAACCCAGATATGCATGATGAATTAACCCAGAAGATGCATGATGAATTAACCCAGAGATGCATGATGAATTAATCCAGAAGATGCATGATGAATTAACCCAGAAGATGCATGATGAATTAACCCAGAGATGCATGATGAATTAACCCAGAGATGCATGATGAATTATCCCAGATGATGCATGATGAATTAACTCAGAGATGCATGATGAATTCACCCAGAGATGTTTTTCGATTTAAAGCTTTCGTGACTGCAGGGATTCATCTTCTTGGTTCTTTCGGTAAAGTCACGAAGAATGGAAATAAAATTTTAAAAAACATAATAAAATAAAATTTTCACGACGTTTCGGCCACAACACAAGTAGCCTTCTTCAGGTGAATGAACAGGACTGTCCAGAAGACAGCGCTTGAGTGAACATTGTTAAGCATGGGTCGCGTCTTTTAAGCTGTGTGGGCGGAATGAACATATGAATGAGCATGTCACCCAGCACCACCACCGGATCGGAGGAGGGTGGTGGCTGGGCAGACAGGAAAGGAAGGTTAAAGAGCAGCCAAGGTGCACTGCTCTGTCCTGTGTTGCGTTGTAACTCTGCTATAAACTGGACTACAATACAGTACAATATTATAACTTCCAATCTAAACTACATGGTATAATATCATATCCATAGACAAAATTCCACCTTTGAATTATAATGCGTTACTATACACTACCCTATACTTTAGACTATAAAATATTAGACTTGTAACATTGCACTGTCTTATTCTATCAACCCTACTATATACCACTCTGCTGTATATTCACTATACAATTACGATACTATATATTGCCTTATGAATTATGTTAAACATTACAATGTTATACTATTATACCACATGCTATAAACCATACCATTGACCGACGTGTGAAAGGTATTAAGAGGCAGTGCCAGTATAACATTGTAACATTGTAATGTTATACTGGCACATTGTAATGTTATACTGATGAATTAACCCAGAAATGCATGATGCATTAACTCAGAGATACATGATGAATTAACCCAGAAGATGCATGCTGAATTAACCCAGAGATGCATGATGAATTAACCTGGAAGATGCATGATGAATTAACCCCGAGATGCATGATGAATTAACCCATAGATGCATGATGATTTAACCTATAGATGCATAATGAATTAACCCAGAAGATGCATGATGAATTAACCCAGAAGATGCATGATGAATTAACCCAGAAGATGCATGATGAATTAACTCAGAGATACATGATGAATTAACCCAGAGATGCATGATGAATTAACCCATAGATGCATGATGAATTAACCCAGAGATGCATGATGAATTAACCCAGAGATGCATGATGAATTAACCCAGAAGATGCATGATGAATTAACCCAGAGATGCATGATGAATTAACTCAGAGATACATGATGAATGAACCCAGAGATGCATGATGAATTAACCCATAGATGCATGATTATTTAACCCAGAGATGCATGATGAATTAACCCAGAGATGCATTATGAATTAGCTCAGAAGATGCATGATGAATTAACCCAGAGATGCATGATGATTTAACCTAGAAGATGCATGATGAATTAACCCAGAGATGCATGATGAATTAACTCAGAGATACATGATGAATTAACCCAGAGATGCATGATGAATTAACCCAGAAGATGCATGATGAATTAACCCAGAGATGCATGATGAATTA